TTTACTTTACTTTACTTTACTATTTTTTTGGGGTAGAGTGGGTAGACGTTGCAACTATCAAGCAATGATTTTTTTGCATTGTAATTAAATCTGCAACAAATATATAGGCAGTTAAATAGTTAACCCACCCACACCATTTTTTCAAGTTTTTCAAGTAGACTTCGCTAATTATAGGCATACTGCCAGTATGGAGCATAATTGGGCCATAATTGCTGCTGTTTAACAGCTAAGCAGTGGTTGTTTTTTTCATTAACTAAATGTTACTGAAGACCAGATTGAGGGYAAACTTGAAACTAGTTGTTGGAGATAGTGACTCTTCAGGGTATTGAGAAACTTTTCTGGACTATTCTCCTGTTGTGACTCATGACACATTTATAGGTGGAAGCTAAGGCACTTGTTACTGCTGATTTATTAGTTGCTTTTTGATTGTTTTGATCTGTCAGCATTTTATGATTTAGAATTCATAGTTAGAATGACTTTTTATTTACACTTGTACTGGTCTGTATCTTATACTTGCACAAGGAAGGTCTTGCCACAGCTCTTTTTATGGTTTGTCTGCTATATTCTTTTCTGTAGCTTACCATGTTCATGGTATTTTGGTGGTCTATACAAAGTATAGCATGTTTGGGCTTGAATGGGTCATTTCTCTAATAATGTTTAGCATTTAAAGTTTCTTTTCTCTGCCATCAATGGCAGCTTTCTCATTCATCTGTAATTTGTGTTTTCTAAACTTCCCTGTATTTTTGTATTGATATTGTATCTATGACCTCATCTGTCAGAATTCTATCTTGTGGGTGGGGTTTTTGTTTTGTTTTTGTTCCCATGTTCAGATATTTTCTGACCTTCTTAACTGAACTAATCTAGTACTAATCAGTAGAATTTAAAGAGGAATCTTTTTCTGTTGATTTGTTTTATAATTCATATAAATGTTTTTCAGGTTCCAGAGCTCTAAATCTGGAAAGATCTACCTCCACAGAGATGTAAGGCTCCTGTTCTCTCGGAAATCCATGGAAGTTGATAGTGGCGCTGCATATGAACTCAAATCTTACACTGAATCTCCAACAAATCCTCAGTTTTCACCAAGATGTTAGCAAACAACGGCAAACTAAAGTATTCATTTTAACGTTGATTACTCCTTAAAGGCAAAGATTGGTACAGATGACAGTATAGAGCAGAATCTGTAAAGGAATGACAAATAGCGCGCAAGAGAAGCAAGGTTCTTCTGTGATCCTGGACCAGTTTTGTAAAGGTTTCTGGAATGAGCTTTGTGTATTCCAAGTAGACTGGAAGCAAATACTTAAATCTAATCTTTTTGTACTGTTTAAACCACTTCATTGGATGTGTTGCAATAGCAAATTCCCAACTTAGTTTAGTGTTTACACTTTTTATTTTATTTTTCAGTTATTTAATATTTAATGTTTCATTTAATACTCAAGTGATGTTTGTCTTTAGTGTTCTAATGTAGCATAAATCCTATGTAAAAATCATACTATGTATTTTTGGCATTAATATTGAAATCTGAAATATATACAGATGTCTTTAATCTGTGTGATGTTTTAAGTGATATTCATTTAACTTATTGAAAATGAGGACAACAGTCAAACTTCCATAACATTTCATACTATGCAAGCATTTGGCTTTCTTCTTTTCTGTCTGTAATATTCCCCTCTTTTCTCACATACAGGTCTAATAGCACTTGCAACCATAGTGCAGAATGTTGATTTATTCCGAATTGAGATCACAGATTGAATTCATATTTCTTTTCTCAATTTTTCTGTCATTAAGGGACACCTGAATATTCCTTCTGTTAACAGTTTGMATGTTTCACAGAAAATTCTCTCCCCCATATTTGATTTCTGCGATTGTGTTAAAGGATGTACTGTGCAAACAAATTAGTATTTATATCTTAAATATATGCAAAATCTATGAAACTTGTACTTCCTGTTTTATTTTTAGATACGGAGGATTTTCATTTAAGCTGAAACTCTTAGAACAAGTCAGTTGCATTTAGGCCACTAGGTGGCTTGAAAGTTTTGCTGAAAATGCTGTGTTTGGCATACTTTCCAATACATACATTATTCCTAAAACAACACAATGAGATAAGAAAGTTATGCCAAGTCTTAAACTGTGTGGCTGAGTGGGGGGTGTAGGGGGGAAAGTAGCAATATTTTAGTGTATTTGGGATCTGTCTGTAACAATGAACAGCTCCAGCTTCACAGTATTTCCTGATCTCAGAGTTTCTTACTGTCTTATCCAGAGTGATGTATATTTTTATACTATATTATATTTTCCATAGTGTCAGCAATATAAAAGGAGGTGTTGGTGTTGGAGTAACATCCTTATCTGATGAAGACTCTAGAGAAAGACTAAATGGCCATGTTGTATATTCAAAACTGCTCATGGTTGAGTTGGTGCATCGTGAAATCTCCAGGAAGTCAGACAGGGAAAATAGAGGAGWCCAGACTTTCCACATGATGCTTATCAAGTATCTTGCAGCTGTGATACTGTCTATTCAAACAGCTGTCGCTACAGAAAGGTGAAGCTCAGGTAATATAGAATTTTGGATATGTGGTGACTATGAGTAATGTCAGAACTTAATTAGTTAAACTACACCTGGCCCTTTGTGAATGCCTTTTAGAATGAAAATAATTGTAGGGCATATGTGCACAAGCTTAATCACTTTCCATTTATACCTTGGTCTGAATTACACTTTTCACTAAGGACACTTCTTRGTAAGTGTTTAGGGTTCATAAGGTATGAACTGGTTTCCCTTTAACTTCGAAAGCACGGGATAAGAAATGAGGTTAGACTAGGTTTGAAGAGGTCATCTGCTTCTTCTCWTTACCCTTTGGTAGGCTCAACCATATAAAATTAATTCTGACAAGTGTTCCGGAGTGGTGTAGCTGAACTATACATTTCTGTTTGTGTTCTGCMCTCCCATCACTTCTCTTGAAAGCAATTTGAGGAATGGCCAAACCATCAGTCTTCTGGAACTCATTAGTGTTTTTATACGGTCCTATATAGATGACTAATAATTGATCTGAAATTCGCTCAGCCAGTTTCCAAAGTACTCAAGGGTGATTTTGCATCTATATTCAAAATATTTATCAAATAGGGAAAAATAATTTAATACGAGTACTCTATAACCTCAGCTTTCCTTATTCTAGCCTGACTTTATATTCTTTTGATAGTTTATTATGCTGTGATTACACTAAATTGAAGTAGGGGGGGAAAAAAAAAAAAAAGCTGCCTTTCATTCTTTGGTCCTTAAATTACTTGTTTAGTAATCTGCTGTTCTAGATTAAAAAAAAAAAACTTGAAACTTCCTCTTACATTATGTGTATCTACACAATATATTATCTTAATATATTGTGCTGTCATCATGTCCCTTGGTGGTTGGATCTCATTTCTTTGCCCAGGCCTTTCTGAATGTGCATGCTGTGTCTTTGATACGCGTCCTTCATTACTTGACCTATTTTCTCTGTGTGACTTCCATGTCGTTGAGGTTACTGAAGAACATGAGCTTTTTCTTTTCGACTTTATTCATACAATTCCAATCTTTGAATTGGCAAGTTTACACTTTTGCTATCGTCTTATTAAGGAAGTGCTAACTCCTCTAAGCTACATTTTCCCCTCAGATTAATTTCCCAAGCGATGCAAGTTTGCTGAGGTTGCATTCTTGCTTGCTGTCACTGTTTAGTTCTTTTCTTGCCTTGCAAAATTCATGAGGTGCCTGAATTTTCTGGTTTCCGTGTTGCTACAGAGTTGCTGTCTTTTTACATTATCACAGTTCCCTGCTGGAAGAACAGCAAGGGCCAGGAGCAAATGTAGGACACTCAACATGATCATTTTTTTCTACTGTTAGGGGAGAAAAAAAGAAAATCTCGGTGGTGCATTCTAAGACTTCCCRGTGTAATCTGCCCTGCTGTATCCCTAAGCTGGAGGTGAGCTCCCTGTTATCACAGAATCCTGCTCTCCCGATGAGTTAATTTAGCACCAGGAATGTCGTGCGTCAGCCGCGGGGCTGGGAGGGCCTCGCGCTGGTGCTGGAGCGCAGGGTGAGCCTGGGCGTGATGAGGGTGAGCGCGGAGGCCCTCGCCCGTGTGTCCCCCGCTCCTCGGGCCTGGCCGGGATCCATCCCCAGCCATGGGCACATCCTGTGCCTGCCAAACGCTCACAGGGAAGCCGGGAAGGGCAAAGCTGCAGGAAACTGGCAAGGATGCAAAGATGGAGGAAAGAGCAAAGGRTGCCATGGGGAGGTGTGTTGGGAAAAGGGAATATTTCCTTAAGTTTGACATGTTTTAAGTGAAGGGAAATAACAGCTCCCTGTTCGCGCAGCCTCCTTCTTTAGAGGCCTGTATCCAGGGGCCTGAGTGGGGCTGTGCCGCCCCCCCCCCACGGACTACAACTCCCAGCATGCCCGCGGGGGAGGCCGGACGTGACGTAGAGGGGCGGGGAGAGCGGGGGCGCGCAGGCGGAAGCTCTTCCCGCCCGCGCCGCGGCAGTGCGGCCGTGCCGCGGGGGAGGCTGCGCGCGGAGGAAGTGTGGTCCCGCCGGCTCGCCGTCCCGAGAGCGGCGGCCATCTTGTGCGGGAGGCGGCGGCACGAGCGGCGGTCGCGCGTCCCCGCGAGCCCTGAGCGCGGCGCGGTCGCTGCTGGCGCCATGTCTGCCGAGAGCCCCGAGCCCGCCTCGGCCGAGGAGCAGAAGGTGGGTGCGCGGGCGGCGCCGCCCGGCC